TTGTATTATATTTCTTTTGAGTAAACCACCAAAATGCACGCGCTCTTCGCTCTGCACCCTTGTCGCTCATCAATTGGATACATATATATATGTATATTGGATTGTATATGTATGTATGTATGTATGTAGTATGTATGAATGGATGCTAGAGAAACGAGACGATACTAAAGTTGCGAATTCTCAGAGTACACACTTCTCAGCAACGAAGCTGGTTGAGTGCTTTTTGGACTAAAGAAAATAACTGTAACAACATCCCCAATAAATGGAGTTAACCAAAGCGGATGCATTGAGAGGCAGACAGATGGTGTTTGGTGTGCAGAAGAAGCAGCAGAAGATGAAGAAGAAGAAGAAAATGATGATGAATTATAAAAGGAATTAGAAAGAAAAAAAATTCAAATTTTGCTGCGAAACTCACAAGTTGGGAAAAATATTAAATTTTTTTTTTTGTTTGGAAAATTTTTGAAAAAATCTATAGCAGATTTGCCTCAGCCACATATACGTTGGTTCCAAACGAAGACAAGTCTCACACGTACGAGTACGTTGGAGAAATGCTCACGGCACTCAGCCAAGTATGCTCGTCGCTCTGGAGCGCCAAACGCCTAGTTCTACCCACACACACACACACACACATGTGGAGAGCAGAAGCCGAAAACTGGCTGAAGTCATGCGTTCCGCTGCAGGTGGTGCAGGGATACCAACCGATATGTGTGCATCCCCAAATTGGTGATACTCATTGGTACACACAAGTAAGGTGGTATAACTTAGAGTGCGTCTCTTGCCAAAACGCATACACACACACACACACAGACCGACAGCGAAACACCCAACCCCCAACACGCAGTCGCATGCACAGCCAACGGTATGTATGGCGGTGAATATATGTACGAGTATGTATACAGCAACCAAGTGCACATCAACTTAACTTGGCTATAACTACTATAACTACTACAACAACAACTACAAAAACAACAACGACAAGAACAAACAATGACAACTGCGTCAGACGAGCACTGCACTTGGCCTCTGTGTACCTCGAGGTGAAGTGGAGTGCATGTATCTACTACTAGTAGCTTTTTAGGCGGTGCACACAAGCACAACACACTGCCTACTTGCATATATACATACATACATACATACATATGTGTATATGATTGGGAGAGTATGTGTATGAGTGTGTGTGTACACGGTGTTGTAGGTACTACATGAATTGCTGCTGAAATACGAAACTGATGGCCGCAATAAAATCAAACCAATATCCTTTAGTGGACACACGACTGACTGACTTCTCGCAACGCATTCGTAACAACAGTCTGCCATTGCGGTTTTAATGCCACAAAGAGCTCTGAGTCAAGTTGAGTATGAACATACACCCATACACCCATACATACATACATACATACATAGGTTGGAGTAGTGCGAAAATTTGCTAAGCTTGTTCAGTACTATGTATATATGTATGTGGACATGTATTTACCTACTGAGCGCAGTTGGGGTGGTTGGTGGGCGTAAAAAAAAAAAAATAACATATATACATACATACTGTTTGCTGAACGATTTTGGTGTGGGTGTAGTGTAAATAATACCTACTCATGTATCTGTGAATGTGCATGCATAAATCTGTATGTATGTATGTATGTATGTACAATAGATAGTTGTGCATGTTTACTTTGTTGTTGGTAGACACACAAAAGTTAGCAGGTATGCATTGCGATTTGCTCCGAGTTAAAATTACTTAAGATTTGCATATACTGGCACTTAGTTAGTACTCGCACCATTTGACCGTACGGACCGAAGTATGAATATACACTATGTATGTACTCGAATATATGCAAGCAGTTATGTGAGGGAAATGAGATGAGTCAATACAAGCAATTTGTATGAGCAGAGTTGCCAATTTTTAACCTTTTTCTCGTTTCTATTGATTCTTTTTTACAGTTACAGACTGATTTACCGTTAGTTATTTGACTAACAAGAGTGATTTTGGTTCTTTAAACCCAAGCGTAGTAAAAATTAGTTGAGAAAACTCGGTATATTTGAACTGTAGTCCTTTGATAACCGCTAATAAAAACTCGTTCGTCCTTACACTCAGAATGGAGCACTGTGTCTTTCGATAAATCTACTGGAACGTGCAATTTTGCAGCCGAGGAAGAGAGATTTACTTATGGCAGACAAGTTGGAGTCTGGTTCATTTCGTGTTGGTACATAATTGGCGCTGCAGCTACTTTCGGTCGAGCTTCTCTACCCGTTTTTGGTGTATCTCAATGTTTTTCGAACAAATGGGAGGACGCACAATTTGTGCCAAGCCGCCTCCGGACGACTGATGGAGCTTTAACGAGAAGCTTTTATTTCATGTTAGAAAGACACTCGGAGAAAAACTTTTTTTTTATAAGTTTTAGATGTTATTGTAGTCTGCACAGGAATCGAACCTGTGACGTAGTACGCACTGCTAGCCAATCGATTAATGCGGAAGCCTAAAAAATAAGTAACTGCAAAAGCTAACTAATGCCAACAAGGTCATTTATTGGGTATATGTAGGTTTAACAGGTTCGGTGGGTGCAGAGAGAGAGAGAGAGAGAGAGAGAGAGAGAGAGAGAAAGAGAGATAGATAGAGAGAAAGAGAGATAGATAGATAGATATATAGAGAGAAAGAGAGATAGATAGATAGATAGATAGATAGAGAGAGAGAGAGAAAGAGAGATAGATAGGGAGAGAGAGAGAAAGAGAGATAGATAGATAGATAGAGAGAAAGAGAGATAGATAGATAGATAGATAGATAGATAGATAGATAGAGAGAGAGAGAAAGAGAGATAGATAGGGAGAGAGAGAGAAAGAGAGATAGATAGGTAGGGAGAGAGAGAGAAAGAGAGAAAGAGAGATAGATAGATAGAGAGAGAGAGAAAGAGAGATAGATAGGGAGAGAGAGCAAGAGAGATAGATAGAGATAGAGAGAGAGCGAGAGAGAGAGAGAGATGTATAAACTTGTAACAAACACAGTACATCAGGGTTCCAGTCTGGAAAGTAAGGGTTTAGTCTGTTAAAATATCTAGAACCTTAATGCAGAAGGACCACACGCGTCTCAGCTCATGGCAGATCGACCTCCGCGCTTGCAATTCGAATCCAATCAGCGATAACACAATTCACGGCGAGAGATTTGAGTTAGGTATTAACTGCAACTCTGTAAAGCGTTGTTTTTATAGCGACCTACCCTATCACACCGAGGAGAAGTTAGTTTATGAACTCCAAGCTATCTAATGGAAGATCTAGTAAACGAGCAGCTTTGATGTATGCGGAGCAGAAGGAGAGGTTTGTTAGACGAGTTATTTTTAATAGGCTTGCAAAGGAAAACCCCGTCTACGGTATACAAACACCAATTGTGCCGTATTACTCGTACCGCGCTAGGCAGCACGAGCTCTTTGTCTTGTGTAGGTAGTGAATAGATACTGAGCACTCCTTTGACGATAAGAGAGTTTACAAAGGTTTCGTTTTGGGCCTAACGATATGTCGTCTTATCCAGCAGCTCTGTGTTGTGGTACTGAATGAAGTCCTTTAAGTGGTGATTCAGCTTCTACTAGATGTCTGATCCATACGGTAGCAGATATTGCTTCCACTGCATTATATTATCCTCCTTAACTCTTGGCTTAGATGTTTCACTGGTGGTGCAGATGAAATTTCGATCAGTATGTATCCCGTTACAGTCCTCAGGGCGGTGTTTTGGCAAGCTTGTAGATTCATTATATACATCTCGCTAGTCCACGGCGTCCATATCGGCTTGCTTCGAAGCTATCGAAACAGCTCGTTTCTTGGACTACCTGCGAGATGACCTCCACGGCATACACTAATTTTGGCATAGACTAATTTTGGCCGCTACAACAACAATAATGCATACGAAGGTTTACCTAAAACTTTGCTGTGAAAAGTCGGTACGATCAATAACGTCGTCCTTGGTAGGCGATTCCACTACAAATTACTGCTCGCTGTACCAGAAGGTTCACCCGGCAAACCAGAAGTACTCTATATGGACTTCAAATCATCATCCCTGAATGCTTTTATAAGCGGGTGTTTTGTGAATTACGAAGCTTTCGTTATAATGCCACTAACAGGTCAACGAATTTATATGGGTACACAGACGCAAGGCGCTTTACTCACCCAATGAATTGCTCAAACATCAGGCAAGTGAGATGAGCTGGTGCTCTAAGCGAGAACCCGTCATCAAAAGACCACAATATGTCTCAGATAACCTCAAAGGACTACGTGAAAGAGGACATACTAAAAGACTTCAATGTAAAGAGAAAAAATATTAGACTCTTTGTAGTTCATAAATCGATTTAGAATAATTTCAACAAAATTTCGAAAATGCCAATCATTTAAAAAATATTTAACGGTAAAGTTATCATAACTGTCTTTCATACCAAACTGTTGGCTCCCTGTTGGCAACCCGTGTAAGCGCAGTTCATCTTTATTCTTTACACGCGAATTTATGTATGTACATATATATTTACCCTCCACATGTGTATAATGACAAACTACTCAAGTTAAATATAATAACACATAATACCAGGTAAGTACTTATAATAGGCAAACTACAAAATTGTCCGCAGCTGAAAGCATTCAAAGTTGTTGCGTATTAAGTGTTGGCCATAAACACTTCCAGCCAATTGAATGGCGACTACAGGCAAAGCAAAGAATATGTAAGGCAAAAAATAAAAATAAAAATAAAAAAACTCATGTAAATATAAACCTCGAGAAATATCTATCGTTTTTTTTTTTTTTTGATCAACCACTTTCGAACAGAGTTGTATTACAACGGCTTCCTCCTCGTCAACTCAACTAAACAAGTGTTAAATGAAGCGTATTGGTCGCGTACCAAAAAAGAAACTAAAAATGTTTGAACTTTTGATTTACTCAAGCGTACGCAAATGACCTGTTCACGTGTTCAATTTCAATACTATGCTGGTATTGTATTTAACTGTTTTATTGTATAATATTTTTTTTCGACTTACCATCCTTCGATTTTTCACCCTGCTTCGGCGATGCGATTTTCTTATTAGATATGGATCTAAGGGTGGTGTTGATGGGCTGAAAGTGAAACAGAAAATATTATTATAAATTTAATTTTTGGCGTTTATTTTTCGAAAAGTCGAGGCAAAAACAAAAAAAAAATATTTAAAAAAAAAAATAAAAAAATAAATAAAAAAAAATTAAAAAAAAAAATTAAAAAAAAAAATTAAAAAAAAATTAAACAAAAAAATTCAAAAAAAATTAAATAAAAAAATTCAAATTACAAAAAAAACCTGAAACAAATTTTTTCATAAATTTTCTTCACTATTCAATGACACTCTCCAATCAGAATGCATTATTTTATTTAATACAAACTCGTCCGGTTTAATATAACTACATATATAAAATTTATGTGCATTAAATAATTTTACGGTGTCACTAAAAATATGCATGAGATAATAAATTTTGTACTATAACAATTCATATTTATTCAAATGATAATTATAAATAACTATTATAGTACCGCTTTGTGTCGAAAAGTAAATTATTACTGTTTGCCTTATCTCACGATTGCAGCTTTATCGCAACACGTGTCTAAAGAAAAAAGTAAAGCAATTATTTTGCTGCAAAAAAAAAAAAGCAAATTATTGCCCGGAATAAAAACGGAGACAGATGTTACGTGTAGGCTCGAATTTGAATAACTAATAAATAAAAAACCAAAAATTAAAAAACAGCTGCTGGAAAAAACAAAATTAAATTGCACTAAAAAAAAAACAATTTCGAATTTTTCGAAGATTGAAAACTCTTTTCGAAAAACTTAAAATTTTGGAAAATTTCGCAAATTTATACATTATGCTTTTTTTAAATCTTTCTTAAAAAAAGTTTTCAAAATCCCGCGTACATAAATTATGATAAGTTCATTCCTTTTGCGGGAAATTTTCGTAGTCAAAATATTTTTTTACAAATTTAAATTATTTACCATTTTCCATTTATTCAACCACCGGTAGATATAAATATTTCAAAGATATAATTATACATACATATGTATATACAAAAAAATTCAAAGTAAACATTTTTTCGAAGATATAACTTTTTTTAACAATTTTTATTTACTTAAATTCCACTAGAAATACATTTTTAAAATCGGAGCGTGTGTTTAAAAAAAGTAATTACGTACATTTTCTTAACGTTTTCAAGTTTAAAATTTTTCGAAATTTCAATTTTTTTAATACTTTACATTGATTAAACCACCGCTAGATATAAACAATTTTCAATGATAGAACTGTACAAAAAAAAATTAGTTTCCCGTGTTTTCGAAAAATTTTCGAAGTCGAAATTTTTTCGAAATTTCATACTTTTATTTTTTTTATTTTTAAATACAACCACCGGTAGTAAAAAACTGTATAAAAAATAGTTTCGAAAATAATACGCTTAAAAGGTGTACAAAAGAAATACTCCGAAACATTTCGAAGATTGAGAACTTTCGAAGTTTTGAAAGAATATCATATATAGTATACTTACAAATCGATCGGAACGCTCTCCACATGGCAAACGCGCCACAGCAACATCCGGACTATCCTCGGGTGGTGGTGGTTGTGGTACCCAGTTATATCCACGCCTAGAAATCGGTACACCAAAACGATCATGATGCGATGCTTGTTGTCTGAAATTGACATTTGCGTACATGCAATGTTCTTATGCTTTTTTTGCTTTTATGTTGTATGTGGGTATGAGTGCACGGGTGCAGGCGTATTTACATATTCTACATATGTATGCATACATGTATATATGTATGTATGTACATATATATCAATTAATCAATCAATTAATGCATGAGAAGCTAATTTTACTTGTGGATATGTATGTATATGTATATGCTTGTGCATTAGAAGAATATTTACATATTTATGTAGCGAAAGTAGTAACTATTAGTATAAGCTATAGTTTATAATAAAATTTATATAAAAAAAAGGTAAAGGTAAAGGCTGAGAAAGCGATGCAACTACATATGAAATGCTATAATTTTTTTTGAAAAAATGGTAAAAATTGTTGTGCAAACGTAAAGCAAATGGTTGTTAATTACGAATGTATTTGTTGTTGTTTTTTCTACCAGTATATTATTCTATAATGACTAAATATCTCTACATGAAAAGGAAAATAAATTTTTATATAATACGAACAATTTGTGTTTGCTTAATGTTCAAGTGCAAAATTATTGGTAAACGAATAATAAATGAATAACAAAAATAACAAATAAATAAATTGGAAGACAAGTATTTACCTAAGACTCTCGTAGCAATCCAAACAAACCACAGCATATTCACCATTCTCCAACAAAAGCCCATCGCCATTTTTACGATTCTTCACAAATGGAAACTCATTAACTGGTAGCGCTCGCACTCGCTTACGGTACGTCGTTATACCGCATAAATGACAAATATAATCATGCCAATTGTATTTGCGTTCTGTTGGCGCTATAGCTGGTGTTTGCGCTTCATACCTTCGTACAAACAAAAGAATAGTTAAGTAAGATAAATATAAATAATAAAAAGATGACAAAAAAAAAACCAGCAACAAATTGTTATCTTAAGTAAATATTTATGTACATACAATGAACTAGATATAGATTATACTCACTTGCGCCACTGATTCAACATAGAATGGTAGCAAAATGTACAAACAAGCGCTGAGTAATCCTTACGCAGTTGCTCGGCATTTGGCAGCGAATTATGTTTGAGGAGATGCGGAAAATATGGTCGAGATCCCTGAAAAATAATTACAAAAAAAAAAAATTATAAAATTAATATTAGTGTGGGTAAAACCCTGAACTAAAATTCTCTTTTACGTGGAAAATTCTAATTTTTGAAAAAAAAGTCTAAAAATCTCTATTAGATAAATGAAAACATGTCGAGCTATAAAAATTTGTTTGGAAAATTGAAAAAATGTTGAAATTTCATTTCATCCATCAAAAGAATACCGACTTTCGCGTTCTGAAAGGCTGCAGAAACAAACAAGTTTTAAAACAGCCGATCTTTGGAAAAATAAATTTAATCCATAGGCGGCCGGAACTACTCTGGGCTAGGGTTTCAAAATTTTCTACATGGTAAGACAGCCATGTCGTGAGAGACGCTGCAGGATTTTTATCCGGCTAAAAATCGTTTTTCCCGTAACAGTCCCGATAAATCACACATGAATAACATCATAACCAGACCAATATTCAAAAATTTTAGGAAAGTTTGTACAGCTTTCTTGTACATGACGGTACGTAAACTGTATGTAAGTACCAGAAGGATAAGAAGCGCTTTGTAACCCCTAAAGCGATCTTCGGCCGAGCTCCTACTCCAATTTGTGATTTACGTCTTGATGTTTTACCAACAAATCGAGGGAACCACAGTTTATTCTGAGCCGCCGCGTACGGCCGATGGATTTTTATGTGAAGCTTGGATTTTCACGTCAGAAAATACTCGGAGAACTTGACATTCCCCGCCGAGGGGTGATGCAATCACAAAAATGACTTTCCTATAATTTTTGGTAGTTGGTCGAACCTGAATTCGACCGGCCGCGAAAAGATGGACCCATCAAAATTTATAACGATAGGATCAGGATGGCAAGTTGAGTTGACTTAGCCTTGCCCATCTGTTCGTACGCAAACTAAATACATATATATTTCCCTTCCTGCTGTCTTACCTCCTTGCTCGCATACAACACCCTCGCCAATGTCAAGTCCGAATGTAAGCCACAGAGAAAACAATAAATAGATGTACTGGCAGGTGTTGAAGACACAGATGGCGTGGACGGCGGTGTAGTTATAGTGAGGCCACCATGACGTGAACCATTTGGTGAACTTGATGTTATCATAGGCGAGGGTATATTATATCTGCAATTAAAAAAAAATAAAAAAAAAAAAACAGATATGATAAGTAAAAGTATCCACTTAAAAGACATGATGCAAATAAATGCATTATAACATACCTGCGATGCTCCAATGGCACACGTTCAGCATCCATTGTCTCCCATTGACGTGCCAAATAGTTAACACAATCCTTACAAGCGAGCACACGATTATTCGTATCATTATTATTGGCAGTGCTTCCACCACCAACACCACCACCATTACCACTTAGGCTGACATTATCGCGACCATTATTACTGCTGCCACGTAAACAGGGAAAATGCATGGCATGAGAATTCATGTGCTCAGCACTAGTTGATAGCCATTCCATTTTATTGGCAGCGCAAAGCACTTTACAGATGTAACAACTAGAAGTGCGAGTATAGAGATGTAAGAAAAAGTATTAATATGTGGAAAAATGAGTAAATTATATTTTATGAAGTATACTTTTAGGGTGAAGGAACCGAAGGTCGGCATAAACTAACGAATTTGAATTAACTCAATGGGAAGAGCTGTGTTTTTAATTTTTTTATTTTATTTAAAGAAACACTATTCATAACCTGAGTAAGAACAAATTTTTATTAGTTTAGTATATTCAAAAATATGTATGTATATGGGGAAAAATAATGAATTACATTTTATGAAGTATACATTCAGGGTGGAGGAGCCGAAACTCGGCATTAACTTTTGATTAAGTCTTAAATAAATGCAAAATGGTGTGTCTTTTATTTCTTTAAAGAATTTCAAGAAAAAAACTATTCACAAAAATATTTTAACAGTGTTGAAAACATTAACATTTTTAAAGAAAAATTATTTATTATAAGTTTAACATATTCAAACATGAAAAAATAAAATAAAATTCTGGAACAATCAATACGCTTTTAACCAAATAAAGAAGCCTTCGTCAGTGAAAAATATGTATGCGAAAAAATAGTGTTTGTTAAGTATTTCTGCAGACTTGATAATTATATTATTTTACTTTTATTTTCAATTTCCCTAAAAAAGACTTTCTAAATATAAGGTAATTTCTCTCTTCTCTCTTCTCTCTCCAAAAGAGGTATTTCAAACAAACTAAGCGCATTAATAAATGAACTATTTGAGTCGGTCAAAGACATTTTGTTAAATAACATATCCACCGTTTATCTTATATACACAACTATCTAAACTTAATGTTATCATCAGTCTATATTATATTGGAATACTTACGGATATTGTCCACGCTCATTCTCGCCCGGCGGTCCCTGTGATGATGATGTCGGCGAATTCGGACGCGAATCGCCTTGTCGTGCAAATTTGAAATCACGCTGTGTGGATGTAGAACTATTTGAAATCGGTTCATATGGCTGTAAAGGAATTGAAATAGTTGGCAGGTACATACCTATATTATTACTACATAGATTACGAACGACAAAAACAAATGTATATACAAATAAAAAAAAATTCAAAAACTACAAAACTTGTATATATGAAATAAGTACAAATGTTTGTATGCAGAAATAAAAAAAAATAAAAAACAAATAGTAACAAATATTTTACATTAGTACAATACTTAAGGCATATATATGTACACATAATAAATCACAAAATAGGTTTACACTGCCACTTTTCAAAACCATACTTAATATAAAATTTTATATATAAATTTTGTAACATATAAATATATATAATATACGGATACTATATAAGAAGGGACCTTGTCACAGAGCAGACAGAGGCCTTATAATATTATATGTAAGTAATTTTATTTTATTTATATAACGTTTGTATTAATATTAATACTTTAATTTATATTTTATTACACATACACTACATATATTTTGTTCATCACTTCTACAAACTTATTAAGCGGTATAAACTGGCGAATATCATAAAGTCAACACCACTCTTATACTCATAAAGCGCACACACACACACACACACAAGTGTACGCACATTGGCGGATAATTGCCGCAATTGAAAGGCGTTTACTTAAGCATTCCCGTTATGATTAGATATCTCAAAGAAAATCAGTCACTGCTATTTACTGGTTTTAACTAATTCCTTGATATCAGATTAAAGAAAAAATATTTTTGTTTTGTCTTTTATGTACTCTCAAGTGCATATGTATGTAGTACTTGTATATTTGGCTTTGGTTTAATGTGCTCAAAAGACCTTTAAGTACAAGCTCGCGCATGGACATTCGAACCGTAATTTTTTCTATTTTTTTTTAGAATGTATTATACAATAATTAAATAAATAAAAATTTTGTTTCTAAGAAATGAGTATAATTTATATACGTATATATGTATATATAAAACATATGTATATACAATATAATATTTATGTTTTTTATTTTTATTTTTATTTTTTTTCCAAAATTAATCAGCGTTGCGTGGCCTCTCTTAGCTATTAAATTATACGTAAAAACATTAAAGACGCAGTAATTAACCACACTTCCTTCTTTAGGTTATCGCAAATCGGAAAGAAGTAACAAAAATATTAAAGATCATAATGTCAAAATGTGTATTAAAAATAATCGCGACTATTAAAAAGCACATTTCATCAAACAGGTTCCAACTAGTTTCGAGTAAGGTTTTCAAAAATTATAAACTGTGTAGTAAGTGTAGGCAGTGATTGATTTATTTTCTATATTATTTCTATTGCCCTTTATTACCCAATAAGCAATGGAAGTTGCAGATTTAAAGAAATAAAAAATAATATAAATAAATCAAAAAAATTAAAATAAATAAAAATAAAAAAAAATATAAATAAATAAAAAAAAATAAAATAAATAAAAATAAAAAAATAAAAATAAAATAAAAAAATTAAAATAAAATAAAAAAATAAAAAGATAAAAAATAAATCAAAATAAAAAAATAACAAAAATGTACGAAAAATAAAAAAATATATATGAAAAAATAAAAAAAATATATATATAAATCTAATAATAAAAAAATATATAAAATTAATAAAAATATATATAAAAATATATAAAAAATATATAAAAAATATAAAAAATTATATAAAAAAAATTTAAATTTAATTGGAATACCACAAAATGTTAAAATGATTCATAAAAGGCATTGAAATTAAAAATTAAAAATTAAAAAAATTAATAAATTAATTAAATTAAATAAATAAATAAAATTAAATAAAAAAGTGATAAGCAATAGAAAAAACGAATCAAATAATAAAAAAATGTATAAAAGAACATAAATAAAAATATAGAAACTAAAGAGCTTTTTTTCTATAACTGTCTACCTAAAATAACGCAAAAGTTTAATATAAAAAGAGCATAATTAAAAAAAATAAAAATAGTAATGATTATAAAAACAAAATAAAACATCTAAAAATAAATAAAAATGCTTATAAAACTTTTGTCAAATTAAAATATGCTTCTCAAGGAATTTATATATGAACAAGCCACGTGAGGGTGTAATCAAACTACTACAACCAGCCAACTTGGCCAATATAGAATAAGAAGTGATCAGGAGATATGTACTCTCTTAAATAAGGGTATATGTCTAAAATAATAGGGGCCTGGCAGGACACTGTCTGATAGAACGACAAGCGGAGATACTAGAAAAGCGCCCTATAGAAGATGCTGCAGATGCTGAAAGAATGATGAAGAGGCGGAAACGATCATCCTTCTCTTATGTATTCCGTCTCCTGTATTGGGTAGTGCTAGATTTCGTAAATTGGAGACCCTACTGCTGGGTGGTCTATTGAAGATAGGCGATGTCAAAGTCATAGTTCTAACGAAGCTGATCAGAGAATCGCAATTATTTGATAGCGAAGCATAAATGTTTAAAACAAGCTGATATAAAAAAAACGAAAAAAAATAAATAAACTAAGATAAAATTAAAATAAAAATAAACTAAAAAGAAGTTAAAATTATCAAATAAAAAAATTAAATTTAGAAATATATATAATATTATATTTATTAAAAAGTGTTAAAAATTAATTTAAAAAAAATTAAATAAAAAATTAAGTAAAAAAGTAGACAAAAAAATAAATACCACAAAATTTTATAAGCTACCGAAAATAAATATTTTTTATTTCTTTCCATAACAATACATGCTTAGCTGTTGACGCATTCTGTATTTGGGGTTTCGCGGTACGAAAACAAATGTAATTAAGCACAGTCACAGCACAATGCAATAGTAAATTTACGCGTAAATTTGGTTCAACACATTTCATGAGCTGTTTTATCACGATATAAGCTCATTTTTTAACCAATAATACCAACTAAACCGTTGAAATAAGAAAATTAATCGTTTTTTAATACTAAAAAAAAAAAGTATCGTCAATAACGCTTATTGGGTTAAATTGGCAAAAATTTCTTTATAAATACTATAATTGGAATCAGTTTTACGAAAAAAAAGTAACGTAATAAACTCATTTTTTATTACATTTTCTTATATACTTTTTTTGTTGCAAACCAAATAAATACAAATCAAATAAATACCATACGTATGCAAATAAATTGTGATGTAGTACGCAAAAATAAAAAAAATAAGAACTTTTTATAGCCTCTGTTGCTTTTTATTATCTTATCAGTGACATTTGTTGGCTTGAATTTGTTCACATGTTGACATAAATTATTTAGTGATATTGATAATGAAATTCTCTATTAATATTATATTTGCAAATTGCAAAAACCAACCAACGACAATAACAACAGCACAACAGCGTGGGCCATTCTCAGCAGTCAACAAATGCTTGGCGCTAGAAAAGCGTGTGAGAAGTGTTTGGCCAAAGGACAAACAAAAATTAAAAAATAAATAATATAAATTAAAAAAGAATAATGAAAAATAAAAAAAATAATTTAAAAAAAAAATAAAAAAATAAAAAAAAAATTCAAAAAAAAAAAAATTAATAACAATTGATTATCACAAAAGTAATACTTCAAACAAAATTCATATGGGAGCTTACAGATAGACTAACGCCTAGTACAATACAATACATACATACATTCATATTTTTATAATCGAATAATCGAATACTACATACATACAACGCTCATACTCATATTAGCCAACGAACGGCCTTCATTGCGAAAAAATCGCAATAATTTTTTTTTTAATACCAAATACATATCATGTTTGTATGTACTCATTGCTAAACTGACATATTATTCTACATGGTTTTCCTTAAGTCATACAACGAGTATTTTTCCCATGATAGCGGAATTTTTGTAACATCTTAGCGTTACGTCTATCTATCTGTCTGTCAGTTTGGCCGTCCATGCGTCAGTCGTCTTCCTCATCTGCGTCATCCTCTGTCTCCTCCTCTCCTCCACCTCCACCACCTCTTTTTGCTTTTAATCTTTAAATCATTTTGCATTCAATAGAGCGCGTCGACGGCGTATGCTATCAATAGCGCTTGAAGCTGCCGCTTTTTTTGTTTTTTGTTTTTTTTTTTTTTCGTTTTCTGCTGACTCCGTTGACTCGCTGAATTGATGAGTTGATAGCTTGTATGCATGCATGCGAGTTGGCTGCTTGGCTGCTTGGCCTGATAAGGCAAAAGGTGACTGTTTTATTGCCCTCTGAGCGATAGCCTCTGGTTACATCGAGTAGGCACCTTTATTGACATTCGACGTTATCACAAAAAAATAAATACAAGTGCCAGTTAATCGCATCGATGCCGCGTATACTATATGCATATGCACATACAACATTTTAATGCGCCTATATACATATGTATGTATGCATGTACGTATTATGTGTATTATTTTGTAGAACACTTGATTACATATGTTTGCTTGTTTGTTTGTTTGCCTGTTTATTTGTTAATTAAGTTTGTAGAACTGTGTGTAGTACAATTAAATATCTATAAGTATGTATACTTTCAAATGTGTTTGTTAAGAAAAAAAAATATATAAGTATTTGTAGACGAGCGAAAGCACTTTGTGCGCTTATTTTAAGCCGCAGTATTATAATCTAAGAATATCCACACACACACAAACATTTACACAGTACATATGAGTAAATCTCAAGCACACATAAATTTGAGGACTTGTGACTGCCAGTTAGCAAAAAGCAAAAAAAAAAAAAAATAAAAAAAAAAACGGCAACAAAAAAACATAAATAAAATTTGATAAGCACTACTCATCAAAGTCATAAATCAAATAATATAAGTAATATGACCTTTTTTTCATTTTTCTCTTTTCTTCTTTTTTCTGTTTGTTTGTTTCTGAACCTAGCTCACCTTAAATTTCACATTGCTTGTCGAATCGGAGTTGGCTAATGACTTCTCGGAGGGTGTGTAACGTCCTGCACCCTCGGCGCTCGTTGCGATCACATTGTTGTTGCTGAGATTTGCGTCACTATCGATATTATAAACTGTACCGCCTGCAGTACCAACGCCGGCAGCATTATTATTATCAGTAGGTCCACCCGTAGATATACTACGCCCTGTCGAGGTAGCTCCGGCCATTGTGGTATTATTGCCACCTTCAGCCAAATATAAATGCTTTTCATAACATGAGGAACATATTTGCACCATGCCTGTAGAAAATTAATATTATATGTAAAAGTATAATAATAATTAAAAACCGTTATTAAAAATCAATTTTATATAGAAACCAACTCACCCTGTGGACTTATTGGACTAGCATTTTTGAAAGCTTTCATTGTTTTTATAAAGGGATAATACGGTTCGCGCTCTGCATTCGGGCAACAGTAGACGAGGCGTAAACGTGAGGAGGGCGTATCGCCGCCACAAGTATAACAGACAAATGTGGTGCGTTCCGTGACGGATGCGGGTTTCTTACGTAACGTATAGGAGCGTTCATTTTCAGGTGTTTGTGTAGTCTGTAAAGTGAATGAGAGTAAAGAAAGTAAAGAAAGTTTAATAAATTGCAAAAATTGCCATTAAGTTTAGTACTTTTAAAAATAGATATAATTATTACTATTTATTAATTTTATTTCTTTACAAATTCACAAACAAAAAACCAAATCGCTTACATTATTTTTTATGAATTTACAAATAATTTAATTATAGTAATAGTGATAAGACGATAATAAAAATAATAATTTGAACATTAATAACGGTAATGGGTTCCATAAAAATGTTAATTTATTTATTTTTTTTTAATAAAAGATAATTGTAATGTGATGCGGACATATATTTAAAAGCCATAATCGCAGATACTTAATTGTTGTTAGCTGTGTAGGGTAACATTTACACAAATAAAATATTTAATTATGTTTGTTGTTGCCTTGTATAGAAAATCGCAAATTTATAAATTTATTTATTCACTTACATATATAAAATATAATAAATTTTTTGTTTAATTATTACATTAGAGAAGTAGTTTTTTTTCTCAAAAGTCTGCAAAAGTATTGAGTTTGATATTTCTTTCTGTTAATGAAATTTTATTGTTAAAATTTTTTGACTCACTTTAATTTTCATTTTTCGAAGATCTACCAACTGTACTATTGGTTCTGATATATGTATGTACATGTTTTACACTATTTTCAAATTTCGTTTCAATTTTTTTTTATATCTTACAATATATTTTTATACGTTCAATATGTTTTATACCTTGTGTTAAGGAATTAAATAACTCATTACTTTTTCTTTTGCAAAATTTTATATATTTATATATATATTTTTTTATTCTTTTCATTATATACATTTTTTTATACTTTTTTTTAAACATTTTTTTTTATACATTTGGTTTATATGTATATTTTTCATATATTTTTATATATATTTTTTTAATATATTTTTTAATAAATTTTTTATAAATTTTTTTATAACCTGTATAGTTTGTATAAATTTGTTTTTAAAAAAAATTGTTTAAATTTTTTATAAAAATTTGTATAAATTACCGTATTAAATTTATATATATATATATATAAATTTTTAAAATCATGAAATCGGGCACGAACTTATGCACTCATTCAATAACTTTTTATTGTTTTTTTTTATGTATTTTTCATGTATTTTTCATGTTTTTTTTTATTTTTTTTTTTTTGTTTTTTTGTAACTTTTTATTTATTTTTTAATTTGAGTTTTTTTAAGCTTTTTATTCATTTAATTATTTTTTATTTCTTTACACTTTTCTAATATACAAACACATTACGTATTCTATTAGTTTATTATTGAGTTCCTATATTTTTAATTATTTTATATTTTAACTCTATTTATTTTTTTCTTACATTATTAATCTATTGTTTTATTATTTTTAATTATTTTATATTTTTTTTACATATTAATCTGATTTTATTTTTAATACTTTTTTATTTAAATATTTTACTTTTATACTTTTATTTTATTCAGATATTTTATTATTTTATTTATCATTTATTTTATTTTTATATTTTTTATTTAATTTTATTTAATTTTTGGTTATATTTTATTATTTTTTTATTTTTAATCTTTTATTTTATTATTAATCTTTTTTTAAATATTTTACTTTTATGCTTTTATTTTATTCAGATATTTTATTATTTATCATTTATTTTATTTTAATATTTTTTATTTAATTTTATTTAATTTTTGATTATATTTTATTATTTTTTTATTTTTAATCTTTTATTTTATTTTTTTAAATCTTTTTTTGATTTCAATATTTTACTTCTAAGCTTTTATTTTATTTAAATATTTTATTGTTTATCTTTTATTTTATTTTAATATTACATTGGAATCTTTTATTTTATTATTATATTTTATTTTTCATCTTTTTTAGTTCACTTTTTATTTTGTCCAATATTTATTATAATTATTTGTATCTATTTTTAATCTTTACTTTATTTTAATATTTCGTTTTTAATCTTTAATTTTATTTTTATTTTTTTTTATTTTTTTATTTATTTTTTTTATTTTATTTTTTTTATTTTATTTTATTTTTTATTTTATTTTATTTTTTATTTTATTTTATTTTTTATTTTATTTTTTATTTTATTTTTTATTTTATTTTTTATTTTATTTTTTATTTTATTTTTTATTTTATTTTTTATTTTATTTTATTTAATTTTTGATTTTATTTTTTTATTTTACTTTAATGTTTTATTTTTGATCTTTTACTTTATTTTATTTTAATATTTTTTTTTTGTATCTTTTTGTATTATTATTTATTTTTTATTTTTTTTTTTGTTTTTTATTTTTTTATCCATTTTTTAAATTTTATATTTTTGTACTTTTATTATTTACATTCATATATTTTTTACACCTTTTAATATATATACATATGTGTATGTATTTTATTAATGTGTTTTTAATTCCTATTATTTTATATCAGCTATTTTTTAGCTTTCGACTATTTTTGCATACCTTTTCAATTTTTTATATTTCATACTTTTTTATAGGTTCAATAGATTTTAGAATTTTTAAGGAATATGCAGATTTTCTAAAAAAGTTTCCAATATCCTATTTTTATAAAATATTTACTATTTGCCAACATCAAAGTATTGGTTATTGGAAAAGTTAAATTAAATATCATTCATAATGCATTTCTAGATCCCGTAAAGTATTCTACATACCTATATGAGCTTAGTAGCACAGATTTTAAAATTTTTATAATTTATTTTTTATAACTTATGGTTAAAAAAAAATTATATAATTTTATTTTACGCTTTATCACATTTCATTTGTCATTACTTTATTGTCAAATGTAATATTTTTCATTTTTATATTTTTTTTTTTTGCGGAAAGTGCAAATCATATAAAGTGATTTATGACTTCTAGCCCATATAAATAATTTTCTATGTCTATTGCTTAGGAAAATTATTTTTACGTCTATTCTATGTAATTATTATAATATATTTATATTACACAAATATTATAAATAATAACCAATTTTGTCATTTTTTTTGCTGGCTGTGTTTTGTTGATTTAAAAAAAAAAAAACTACTTTTACAGCCTTTGCAAACGCGCTAGCTTAACGACATTTAATTTATTATTTATTATTTATTTATAAACTAAATATAATTTATTGCAATATTTTTTACAGTTTATTTTATTATATCTTTTTTTTTTGCTTGTTAAGCTTACAAATAGCAACAGATAAATATAGGTAATTTTATCACTTATTACATTTTTTATATATTGCATTGACATAAGAATTTAACTTTTTCCCCCTTTTTTTATACGCAAGCAAATATTTACCTTCTGCTCCAACATCTTATCTTTAAGTATTAGGTAAGTTTTTAATTTCTTATAATCCTTCCAGTTATCATTTTCCAACAATTTCCGCTCTTTCAACATATTCGCCGCCGCAGACGTTGCCGCTGCCGTTGCCGTTACCGCGACCGTTGGTGACGACGCCGGCGTAGTTTCCGTTTCACGTAGTTTTAACATTGCGACGCCAAAAGTCTTCGTATCGGTTGCACAATAATCGTAATCGATTGCTGCAACTTTATCACTACCACCACCACCACTACCAGCACCGGCAGCGGTACCACAATCTGTCATTACCAAAAGTAATAAACACTTGCGAATTTGCATTGATTTTTGAATGGTTCGAAATGGTTCAAAATGGCGCAAATTATAATTTTTCACGCGCACGCAAACACATGTATGTAAATATGTACATATATACTGAAGTAAATGTGTATAATTGTTATGTTACTTTGAATTTGCAATAGCAATATTAAGCTTCTTGAGATCTATTTAGTGATAGTGAAGTGTTGGAAAGTCGTGCGGGGTATACATAGGTTAAGAGCGCACTTAAGTACCGCGCACTTGTTGCACACAAGTGTAAATTGTATTTTTTTGTTGTTGTTTATTTAGCTTTTTTACTCAAAGCCCTCTCTGTATGTACATATGTAGAACAATACACAATTACAACGTGAAATATAAAAATGTATTTATAATATTTAAATGTAGCACACAAAGTGTAATTATTATAGGGCAACAAGTGATTTATATATATATATATATATATATATGCATACATATGTACATATGTATATGTTGTGCATATATTTTTTCGAATGCTGATAAGAGATCGCACTGAACACGACAGGCAGGAATTCTTTTGTGGGCGCAACTGCACTTCAAACACATATATACATTCTACAAAGCCGAATACGCATGAAATTATTTAAATAATTATTTTTTACATTTTTTATAGCTTTCTATATATTCTTTATAATTTCTTTATAACTTCACATTTTTTCTTTGTATTTTTTATATTTTTATACTTATTCTTCTAATTTTTTTATATTTTTCTTTCATATTTTTTTATTTCTTTCATATTTTTATTTTCTTTTATACTTTTCTTATAATTTTATAAACTATTATATTTTGTTATATTTTTATAATTTTTTTTTTTAATTTTTTAAATTTATGTAATATTTTTTTGTTTCTTACTGTTTCTTATATTTTTAGTTTAATATTTTTATTTATTATATTCTTTCTATATTTTTATTTTTTATATTCTTTTTAAATTTGTTGATTTTTATAAATTTTTTTTATTGTTTTTATTTTTTTTTTTTTAATTTTTTTTATTTTTTTTATTTTTTTTTTTTAATTTTTTAAAATTTTTTATAAGGTTTTATATTCCTTTTTACATTTTTTTAATATTTTTATATTGCCTTTTATATTTTTATTCTTATGTTTTTACATATTTTTTGTTTTTTTTTTAATTCCTTTTTACATATTTATATTTTTAATTTCTTATATTTTGTATTCTTATATATATATTTTAATTTTATATTTTTATTTTGAATATTTTAATTTTTTATATTTTCATTTTTATATTTATATTTTTATTTGTATATTTTAATTTTTATATTTTAATTTTTATATATTTATTTTTATATTTTTATTTTTATATTTTTTATTTTTATATTTTTTATTTTTATATTTTTTATTTTTATATTTTTTATCTTTATATATTTTTATTTTTATATTTTGATTTATATATTTTGATTTATATATTATTATTTTTATATTTTTATTTTTAATTTTTATATATTTTACTTTTATATTTTTATATTTATATTTTTATATTTTTTATTTTTATATTTTTTATCTTTATATATTTTTATTTTTATATTTTTATTTTTTATTTATATATATTTTATTTTTATATATTTTATTTTTATATATTTTATTTTTATATATTTTATTTTTATATATTTTATTTTTATATTTTTATATTTATTAGTGTTTTTATAGAAAATTCCGTTGCCGACAGCAGACTGTTTTATTTTAGATTCGTTGAATTTTTTAATTAATTTTTTTTTTTGGCACTTTAAATTACGAAATTGCCTTTTATTATCTTTCTTATCTGACATTTGTGATCTAATTACTCACGCACGGTAGCAATTACACACATACGTAGTAGTAGTGTAGTATCTAGCTGAGTGTGCAATGGTTAAGTACATATTTGCACATACGTACATATTTGAAATGTGAAGAAAACAAAAGCAGTTAAATATAAATATATACGAAGTAGGAAGAAGAAAGAATGTCAACTGTTTGTCCACTTTTGACTGCCACCGCACCATACACCTACTAATAATGTTCCACTTCACTTTTACACACGGAATAGCAGCGCTCACGGTTACTGGCACTGACTGACGACGTCGTACCGCACGCTTATACACTGCTGCAGCCCGTTGGCGTTTTCGTTGGTTTCAAACGTATAGAAGCACACTTCGTTTGCGACTGGGTGAGTGTTGCATAGCGTAAGCAGTTCGAACCTAAATCCAGCGTTGGAAAACTGATAACAGTGGGAATTGACTATATATATGTATACATATATACATATGTATGTAATAATACTATAACTGTTGCGAGTCCATTCGTAATGTAATTAGGAGCCATTGTTTTGTTGAAGGCAAGACAAAAAAAAAAACAAAGAGTAAATAGTAACGGTATCTATCATCATATCGCTCAATGTAATCTAAAATATTATTTTATACCACGCCCCCTCTGCAGCAGTAATACGAAATCGTATGGCTTAATATGCGACGACGCCACGAGATAGAAATCGACACGATATGTATATATGTATGTACATATGTATGAATATACAAAAAATAATAAAGAGAAATAAATATAATAAAATAAACATCACCAGACACTTGAAAGTGGTTATAAATTTAAAAAAAAAAATTTTTTTTTCAATAAAAAATAACATTAGTAATCAGTAGCACGAGAACAATGCTAAAATTGTTCTTAACTGTATGTATGTACATACATACATGTTTTTTTTTTTTTAGAGATACAGCTGTTTTTATATTGCTTAAACTTTACCATTAAGTGATAAAGATAACGTCTGCGAGTTAATTTTAAAAAACAAAACCACAAAAGATATGCCAAAAATAAATTCGGAGATCCCATCCGTTATCAGACGTTTGTCAGGAAATAGTTTTTTTTTTTTTTTTTTGCAATCGCACGATATTGATATCGAATTTATGATATAGGGGCAGGCAGTATACATGACAAAATTGCTTAAATTAAAAGCTTAAACTCCTCAATGGGTGAGTGGGTGACCTAAGATAACCTTAGGCTAGGCATTGTTGCTTTCTTCTGAAACCGATTGGTATTCGGTCTGGTGCAAGTTTCGTGGTTCTTAATAATTACTCTTTAGGTAACATAACAAAATTTGATTTTTTTTAATTTATTAGTAATTATACAAGCCCTTAGCCGTAAGCATAATCTTGTGAACTTTGTAGCTAGTGCTTCGAAGAAACTTGGGGTTTCAAAACCAAAATATTGCTGGTATAATACGTAAGTTCGGTCTGACTCTCGCTCTGCTTTTCGACCGAATTTTCGAAAAAATACGTAACAATGGCCTCAATTCTGGTTGATGATTCTACACAGTCGGCAAAGCATTTTATTCTAAATATTTGCTTGAGCCTAACTTTGTTTCGTTCGCCCAATTTATTTAGACTCCTGGACACATTCCCATACGATTTAATTGATATTGCCATCGGTGCAGCAAATTACTATATGTTCATGAAATACCTTTCTTTTGAGTGTGATAACTGTACATGAGGGCATGGTCAACACTACTGCTTGGAAGATGCTAGAATATTTGCCCATAGGTATTGATAGCCTTGTTTAGGGGGCCCGTAATCTCCTCACCTATCCGTTTTGCAGCCTTTTATCCAAATGTGTACCACATCTTTGAGTGCGATTTTATTCTTGGCTTGAAATTTGTCAGGAAATGTCAAGCCATCAAATTGTATTTCTGATATGAAATAAAAAATCTCTTCTTAGAAATCCATCGACCGGTCGGAGACGACTCAGAATAAACTGTAGTTGGAATTCGTTGGAAAGCTTTTCCGCTGTACATTAATGCAGCAAATAGAACGGCGAAAGTGTGAAAGTTTTTGGTTTCCGTTGAGTTGGGTTGGTGTTATCTCAAGCTGCTATAATTTGTTTGCCTTTTAACCTCCCTTTTTTTATAATGTTTTCTATTGACGAACTACTTTGTACAGCACGTTTGCAAGCACGATGAATAGCTTATTATCTACTTAATATATTAACAATTACAAAATTAATTTAATATTTAATATATACTTTACCTAAATGCTTTCTTACTTAATGTATTATTTATGTAAATAAATATACACACATGTATTTCCTGCATACATATTGCACATTTCATATCAATGCACATGCATATCAATTATGGCTTACACATACATACATACATATACACACACGCTCATTCATACTCAACTAACATACCTGATAGTTATTCCATTGTTGTATTAGGTGTTCATAGCATAACTGACAGGCTTGTATCATGCCACGTGGATCTTTAGGCCGAGAGCGTGGTGGACGAGGAATTTGTTCATTGAATATAGGAAAATATGGCTGCTGACGACCCTTTCCATCTTTGGAACGCACAGTACTCAACTCGATGAGACTACCGCGACGCTGCTCATCACCACAAACATAACAAACTTCGGTCAACGAATTCTTGTCCGGCATTGATAGATCCAATATGCCTACATCGACGGCATTGGTTGTATTGCTGGGCGAAGTATTTCGAAACATTTGACGTGAGCTGCCACATGCCAACATATACGGTTCACACATGTTATTTGCCGAGTTGCGCAAATCTAAAACAGCGCCCGTATCATCAACATCAGCCATTGAAGGTGCATTGGAATGACCACCAACAGCACCAGGTGCTATTGCATAATCATAGGCTGGACTTGTACGATCGGGACGCTGGTGTAGTTGTTGTTGCTGTTGGTGTTGTTGCAGTTGCTGTTGTTGTTGTTGCGGTTTGCTATCATTATTTGAATTTGCAGGTTTTTGAGCATCATTTGGTGGGCTAAATTCATTGCGTGTATAGGAAATTTGACCCAATTTAAATTTGTGATGAGCAAATGAAGAGGATTTTATATTTAATGCATCATATGCCGTGCCGCCACCAACAGATTTGCGTTGCTCATTGAACGTGGGCTCGTCACCTCCTTGTGCAACACTCTTAGGTAACTGGGTAGAGCCAGTTTGTTTATCTTTTGGCGTAAATTGTGGCGTCATTTGGCCATTCAAGGTAGCGTTGAAGTTTCGATTATAATAATCACAGTATTGTTGTGTCGTTGAGCTAGGCATACTATTTGTTTGAGCATAATGTGAGGTTGGTGTTGATGATTCTTGTGATGTCAGCGGATAATACTGATTACCCATATTCGGTTGACGTTCGTATTCGGTGTGACTTGGTGTTCTCGGTACACCGCTTAGGTAAGCAAACTCTTCTTGCAATGCGCCATGCTGTAAATGATCGGCACTTAGACCAAGCACTTGTGCAGCATATTCGCCTTGCGTTTGCATATCAGCGCCAATATAACTCTTGCCATCCACACGCTTCATATGATACAAACGTTGCGAGTGATGTTTTCTCTTACGTTCATATGAGTCCCATTGCTCACGTAATGAACGATAGCATAACATACAGGCAATTACATATTTCTGTGTAGCCGTAAGTCTCGGAACACCATTGGGCGGTTCGTGACGTTCCAAGAAAGGAAAATATGGTTCCGTTGGACAATCTGGATTCTTGAAAACGCGCAGAGATTCGCAACCACCATTACCACCACATACATAACACAAAGGGAATACACCATCGTGTGCTGAATTTCCGATAGTATCACATTCGGAGAGATTGGCTGGATTCGTTTTGGACGATGGACGTTGCGGCGAATGGTAGTATGTTGATTGAACTTGCGATTGCTCTAAGTTATGCTGTGTTCCCATATAAGGTGTCGACTTCAAATCAGGTGATAATGCAGAAGCAGGATGGCCTTCAGGAGCTTTTGTCGTTGTATGCTGTTGGTGTTGGGTTTGTGCAGACCCGCCGCGATGCTCATTTTTTACATGTATTTTTCCTTTTTCCATAATATAAAACTGAAAAAAAATAGGAAATGTGAGTACATATGGAACAACGGAGTATAACACAAAAACGATTGGGTAAGGTATAGTATTTTGCTTCAAGTGTTTGACTTAATCTCTGTGCAACATCGATAGATTAAGGTGTGTGCCGTGTCACATTTCACTTCACTTAGTATTCAAAACCATGAAACAAAATACCAAATTTTCCCAATTTTTTACCTAATATTCAGTAGTTAAACGACATGAAACTTTCTTCGATCTCGTGGAGGCAAATTTTGATAAAGCAGTAGTTTAATAAAATTCAAATTTGTAAAGGCGCATGTTATTAAAAATGAATTAGTTTAGCGGACAAAACGCTAACCGATAATCCGCGTTTATCACTTTTTTATTTATTTTTAGAAGGAATTAAATTTGTCCTTATTTTTAGGCACTTTCGAAATTGGTTTCTTTGTATCTGTTCAGTTATTCGTACTGAAAATATAAGCATTTTTTATTTTATAAACTTTTTATATTTTCTCTATTTGCAATAATTATGCGTAATTGATTTACACATTAGTGCACAATTAGCACACCATTATCTTAGTCTTTATTCACAAGATTGTAATACGTGGTAGAAAAAAAAAAAAAAAAACAAAATACGTGTTGCAATAATTTATGAATCCAACATAATTTCCTACCAAAAAAAAAAAGAAAAAAGTAAGGTAAAAGCTGACATAAAACAAAAAAAAATTGCCAAATTGTCAATAGCTCAATTTACGAGCGTTTGCACTACCTTCTTTCTTTTCTTGTCTTGTTTTCTTCTTTGTCGCTGCGTTTCTCGGTTTTTCGTGTGTCCAGCCAGTCAACCAGCTAGTCGTTCGTTCGTTTAGGGCTGACATATATGCACACACAAACACCCGCACACCAAATGCTGTCCTCTTGGTCCACTGCTCTACTTCAAGCTTTTCGGTTAAAGTCTTTTTGGAGACTTTTATGGCAATTTGCAATTCTAAACTAGTCAAAAACAAATTAGTTGCAATATTTTCATGGACGATCTACGCTATAGTGCAGCAAGTTCTGATATAGTATTCTTAAGCCACACGAACGCCGAAACGCAAAAAAAGTGAGTGAGGTCACAAAGAAAAACTCAAAATTCGTGTATTACAAAATTCCATCAGAGAGTTTTAGTTGTTTTCTATTGAATTCTTTGCGTTATTTGAATAAAAGTTCACGCATCGCATTGGACCTTGGTCCACATTCGCCTCAATTACTTGTAGTATATCACAAAATTAAATTCATTGGCATTTTTTTCGGTTTTCACACTCCACTTTTTTATTTGGAAAAGTAAACTGCTAAACTTATCACTTCTGCTCACGCGATCTAAGAATGGGAACACAAAGATATTGCGTCCATTTTGAAGAGAACTGTCAACCAGTTTTTTGCTTTCATCTGACGTTTGTTGCATTTCTTTCAAACAGCCCAAACAAATCAAAATGGTGCCACATGTGCGAATATGTGTGGTACATTTAAGAGGGATTTGAGATACCTTCGAGACCAACAACATTTATGAAGAGATAATTGAATTTCAAGAACTGGTAATATCACAAAATTTGATATTTGTAAGGCAATGACAGGCAGATCTTGCTAACAAGACGAGAAACGCATATTCCTCTGAGATGTCAATCTCTATGCCAAACTGTCACGCAATGTGGCGCAAAACTTCAATCTGTAGCTATCGTCAGAGAACGTGTCTCCAGTACAGGGGCAGAGAATTCAAGATTTTCCCGTTGTCTGTCAAAAATATTTTTCAATTTATGTTTTGTTTGCATAAATTTTATTTGATTTGCTCATTAAAACCATGAAAAACTCGAGAATTTTTTAATTTTATTATGATTTGTGCGAAGAAAGAGTGGAACCGAGAGAGTATGTGCATTTTTAAAAGCCAATTACTTGTTCTGTAAGTTTTGACTGTCTTTATGCCCAAACACAAACAAAATACTTCGTAGTTGTTGTATTTGTTCTCCTGCTCTCATGTTAATGAATTCGCTTTCGATTGTATATTGGGAGTAAAATAAGGTTTGCAACCTTGATAAGTAAAGATAAGACCCCCACGCTATAAGTACATAACATACTTCTCAAATATTTCTTCGCTTCAGCTACTTAAGAGAATTCGAGGCAATAAACTAATAAAATTTCCCTTAATTAAAATAAAAAGCTGGTTTTTATTATATATTAAATAATTTTGTCTCAGTTTTATTGTTTAATTTTATTTTTTACATGTTTTTGCTTTAATTTTTTCTTATCGCTTTTGCAGAAAATGTTCGTTAATAATACAAAATATTATATTAAAAATAGTTTATACTTAATAAAGAGAATTTAAATTAATTACAGGTTTTCCAAAAGCCAATTTTAAGGTATTATTTTTAACAAAAATAGCGGAAGATTCCAAAATAAGGCACAGCGAATTATTTTCAATATATGTATTGACAAAAGTCTCTTGTGTTTTCTTTTTCTATAATTTTGTTTTTTAATATCTATGAAAACAAATACATAAATATTATGAAATTAATTATCAAAAAAAGAAAATGCAGTTTGGAAAAACACACTTAAAACTAATCATTCTCGAAAGGCAAAACTGCAAATATTGCATATATTTTATATGAATTAAATTGGTTAACAATTCTGTCGTTTTCTGGTTAAAATACTTTTCTTAAGTTTAATATTAAATAACACATAAACATTATTTTGGAGAATACTTGGTTTTTTAAATAATAAGAATGCACTGGCAACAGACTTAATGCAGTATAATTCGAAGTCTTACTGTTAATTGCCTACAGCTATTTTTAATAATAAATTTTAAAATAATAAAGAAATTATAAATAAATAAAAAAGTTGAAATAATTACTTTAGGTTCACATTTATAAGTATTTTATGTTTGTAATGACGTCACACGAGTAAGTTTACACACATATTAACGTATTAAGCACAATTTTAAGTTTTTTTCTACAATGCTTGCACAAAATGTCCATTCGATCAAAATTGCTCAAAGAAAAAATGCATTTTTTCAGCTAATATTCGACTACTCTTCATCTTTGTCTTGCACTAGTCTCAAGCTACAGCCCAATCAGTGCGCTGCGACACAGCTTGTGGTAGCGGTAGTTGGTAGAGGCGTTGCAACACTTATACGCAGTTCAGGTGGGAGATACACACGCGTTGTACTTGTTACCTTAACACGACAGTTGGGGCAGTATATACATCTGCCAGGAAGAAGAGAAGGAGAGAGAGAGAGAGAAAAAGAAACAATTAGAAAATTTTGTTAAAATACAACTTTGCTTCTTTCAAACTTACCTCGCTGCACACTCCGCACAAGTGGTGACATGAGAACACGGGCTGAACATGGTATTGATTTCACGATCCATACATATCTTACAGGTCATCGCTTCGGATACACGCGCCTCCACACAACGTGTAATGGCTGCATCGCGTTTCTCCTTTTCACGCAGCGCCATATCCAATTTATCAGTCACTGCGGTGATGTCATCTAAATGCAGCTCGGCGGAGGATGTCACATCATCATTCGAATGTGACGTGCTCGCACTCATTGATGGCGTAGCGCCGCCACCCAACATATTTTCAAAGAGATCTTCACTGCCCACAGCGGTGTTATTTAAAGCTTCAATACCCTTCTCGTGCAAAATGCGTCGCGCCTGATCATGCACCTCGCGACAGGTGCGTTGTATATCGAAAACATAGCGTTTACCCAATTCGGTATCCTCTTTGAACATTGACGCAATTGTACCCTTGAGATCGCGTGTAAATTGATTCGTAACCACACCACGTACTTTATCACAGACATAGAAGGCATGTCGCTCGGTTATGGAGCGGTAAAGACCAGCAGCCATAGCGTGTTTTGGCAACTTGATTTCGAGTTCGCGACGATCATTGCAGTCGCCTACATACTCCAGTTTGAAGGTGCGACGGAATGATTTAGCGGAGGCGATTGCGCTGAACGGGATGCTTTAGGAGAGAAGAAGCAGAAATATGATTAATTAATGGGTGTGTCGGGGAGAATGACAACTAATAAATTGAAGCAAAATGCAAATAAAAAGATAATTAAATTAAAACAGTAAATTATAAAAATTTTAAACTTGAACTTGTAACTGTTTAAGTTTTATACATATACATATGTATATATATACTTTTTATAGCAGAAAAAATATATGTTATTTAAAAATTTATTGAAAGCGTTAAATCGCTTAAAAACGAATTTCAAATTTTTAAATTTTTCTAACACAAAAAAAAATTATTAAATTTAATTAAAATTAATTTTTAGTTTTTTTTTTCCACACTAAAAAATACTTACACATTCTTTTCGTCTCCCACGCAGGTCGTAATCGCATTTGAGCCTACAGCCACATCACAACGCACCGAATTTTCATGCGCCGTCACACCGCTGAACACCTCCTCGCCGTAACCTTCGAGTTCCTGAATTTGTTTCAATAGCCAATACTTTGCCGATTTCGGGGTCATTTTAAGTGTTGCCAACTTGCCATGCTCAGCAGCTATGCGATTGTAGAAATCTTCAGGCATATCTGCATCAAAACCACCATCGGCACACGATGGATATACAATATAATTTTGATAAACCCAGAGCGGTGATGATGAAGCCTTCTCTTCTGTCGTTTCACTATCGGAATCTGAGTGTGCTGCTGCTGATTGTGACAAAGCATTGCTACATTTCAGATTTGCAGACAATGCCGTTATAAGACCTTCATCGGTGTGTGTGTTGTTGTTGTTATTATTATTATTATTAGGCAGATGTGAATTATGTATATTTTCGGTGGATTTCTGTTTCGACAAACGTCGCTTCTTAAACGACAACACATGCTCTTTGTCTTTGCGTTCTTTGTGTGCGCCATGTGCTAGTTGTTGTTGACCAATATCACTGCCGGCACTACCCCTACGCATTTGTGTGGGACATTTCGCATTAACGGCGAGCGGATTGAAGTGTATGCCATCGGCTTGACAAAGCAACGCTGCCAATTTGGCCGCATTGTTCCAGTCACGTGCCAATAAACGTTTCTCCAACAAATCGGAACGTGCTTGCATATAGAAGATGTTTCGTACGCTCTCTTGCAATAGACAATGTACGGGTACCCAGAATTTAACGCGCAATGCAAGCATTAAATGTATGCTGCTGCTGCTGTTGTCACACGATAGACGATTGCGTAGATTGATCCATTGGCGTGTGCGTGACTCCTCCTGATTTGGTGTCCAATATTCGAGGCCAAAATATTCCATTTCACAGACAATGTCGAGTGCCTTACAAACCTGCAATGGTAAAAAATTGAAAATAGTTAGGTTAGAATTGAACGATGGCGCAACTTAAGGACGGTTATTACTATGCAAACGTATGTATGTATGTACATATGTATATAGGACTAACTATATTTTTATGTATTTATGTTTAGACATGATTGATATAAGTTTTCCATTGGACATCAATATTCTTTCATCTACCATTATCAATATGGACTTGTGCATGTGTTTGATTGATACTTATTTTCAAGTATTGAAGTTTAAAGATAACATATTTTATAGCTCACTTTTGAGTATTTAATAGATTAGTATTTGTTGGTGTGCAATTGAGAAAGCGTAATAGTAAATTATTTATGCAACAACTCAATTTTCGGCATGAATAGTTTGGTCATGTGGCTATGTGGCCATGTGGCGATATGTTGCGCAATTCCTTTGACTGCTTAAGTAGTAATTGTAAATTTAATTTATTTTTAATTAAAGGAAAATATTTTGGGTTCCTTATTTGCTAGAAATGCTTGTTATGAACAAGTTTTTAGAGCCTGAAAAATTGTTTATTGCGAAATTCAGGCTTTCATACGCCAAGTGCAACAACTAGTTGCTCATACGCTCTGACCAACCGCAGGAGTGTGTTTTTTTCTTCTTAACTTATGGAAAGTACAATTAATTAAAAATATGTATACATGCACATATCTATATTGTTGTATGTATAATATATGTATTTTGTAACCAATGTTTGCTACTTTTATTATTTTACTCAATTTATGACAAGAAACTAATTTCCATGCCTCGTAATGCAATTCGCTGAAAACCTTGCTTCATAGTCACCCGGTGTTTGGCAAGCAGGCACGCGAGTATAAAAAGTGAATTTGCAAATATTTTTTTGTTTTAATACTGTGTGCTGGCAATTTAATATTTTGTTTGCGAAACTGCAAATGTTCTAATGCTTAACATTTGGGGCGTGGCACATTTATTGCCTTCTACATAAACAAATAAAATATATTTCACTTTCATTAGCGCAATCATTACTTCTTTCACAAATATTTTCTGATATAAAGTCGTTTGTGGCCGATTAAATTTCAAGCGCTAATTAAAGATTTTTTATTGTAATGCTTTTATTTATGTAAGTTCAAGAAAAAGCGGATTAAGGTGAAAAAAATTATAAAATGTGGCTTTGTAAAAATATGAATTCAGTTATTTGTTGTGCTAAAAGTATAATTTTTGAAACTTATTTTATTTAAAATTTTTTTTTTTACGTACATACATATATATCACCTCTAACCTTTCTTTACATTCTCGTGCATTTTATGTGCTCTACTTATGTATAAAAACTGAAATATGAGTAAATATTTATGTAGGTCTTACTAACATTTCTTTGCTCTTTTTAAACTTTCAAACTGTACAACTGTAAATAACTTTGGCAAACAAAGTAAAGCGCAATTCGCGCTGACATCAACCGACAACAACAACGTGAAGACAAGTTCAAAAATAAACCGTTTATTTACAGGCAGACAGACAAGGTAAGTTAAGCATAGGTGCGGCTACATAACGAATGTATGTATGTGTGCTTCAATTTTAAATGCCTAACTTCACTATACATACTCCACATACATACATACATATGTACATAAAAAATTATCACTGCTTGAATATGTGCGTGATAAAAAAAAATTATTTTTTATTCTTTTTCGCAAAACAAACATTTCAATTAATGTGTGCTTAAGGAGTTTTTCTTTTCTTTTTTGATTTTGCATAAAAAAAAAATAACATGAAATTTTTATTATCTTTTTAGGTAAATATAAATAAATGGGTATGTGCATAATGAAGGTAGACAAACAGGCAAATTCTTAGCGTGCTCATGAGTACCAAGTTTATAAAATGGTAGGCATGTGCTTAAGTACGACAAAGTCGATAACAAGCACGATTTCTACTGCGCGTTATTCTAAAGAAATATACATTTCTTTTAAGTTCTTTTTTTAAGTCAAAAGCTTATTTTTTCCCCCCGCTTAAATTTTTGCATTCCAAAAATGAGTAGGTACATATATATGTACTCGTATGTGTGCGCATGCAAATTTTAGCTTCCATGGCTCGTTTGCGCGTACTTCCAGCACGTTTTTCTGCTTCTTGCTTCTTGCTTCTTGCCTTTATTTATTGTTCCTCTCTACATTACAGGTTGTTATTTTTATATTTTTTTTTAGTTTTTTTTTTTTTGAATTTTTTTTTTATTTTATTTTTATATTATTTAACTAATTTGCATTGCTTATTAGCGTTGCGAAAAGTACGGAGTAGGCACCAGCAGACCGACCGTATGGCTGCCATGTGGGCGCAAATCATATAGATCAACAGAGCGTTTTGTTGCCAAATTCAAGCTTAAAGTGTGGAAAATAACATGCATATACAACATTTGAGCGCACAAAACAAGTTCAAAACAGATGTGTGAACACAATAATAGAAGTTGCAAAAAAAAAAAAAAGAATATGGAAAGAAGTAATAACAAAAACGACTCCCCCAAAACCACTACTACAATTTACTCTTACGACTTCATTTAAGAGATACGAATTTCTGTCACAAACACACTTACGTGCATAGCAGATAAATTCAATGAGTGTGCTCACCGCATGCGTTCATACATATGTATGTTTATCGCTTGCTAGAGATCGTCGCTGAGATATTCGTTTATACTCGCTTTTTTTTTACTGTTGATTTTTACAACACCAACACATTTTGTTGCCGTTGTTACTGTTGCTTCTTCATTTGAGTGGTTTGGCTGGTTGCAAGAGAATGAACTTAACATTATTATTATTATTTTTGTTTTTTTTTTCTTGTTTCATTAGACAACGATCGCTGCAACAACACGTTTAACCAGTTGGCGAGAGCAGAAAAAAAAGTGTTTAATAAAGAGAATTTCGTGAACAAAACAGAAATGAAGTGTAACACATACCTAAACGTACACGCATACATACATACGTACAATACATAAGTACATATAATATAATTTGTATGTATGTATGTTAAGAAAAGAAAAGAAAAAAAATTATATCCATTACGTACGAGTATACACACATTTGCGTAAAAATATATATCGAAAAGCATGCTGTGTGTGAATGGTAAAATTGGACTTTGGAACCCGACCCAAACGAAAATTGGACTTTGTACCCATTCACATATGAACTCAACTGAACGCGTTTGGGTTTGTTGTTTTTTGGACGGTTGCCGTGTGCGGCGCGTACTCATGCGGCCGCACGTTAATGGGTTGGTCATACATACAGTGTTGCCGTTAATTTCGAATACGAGCGTAACGAGACAAAACGAACACACAACCAAAAAAAAAAAAAGAAACGAATAAATAAATTTAATTAAACATTGTTTGCTGTCATTAGCTAAGTCATGAAGGTAAATTTTGTATCATATGTAGACACAAATGGCACACATAAGCGTACAAATTTAATTATATCTATTTGTTTGCGATTTTATTTGCTAAATTGTCTCATTATCGGCGTTCTTTTCCTGTTTGAAAATTTATTTCGTTTTTATTACATTTAAATTATTGCTGGCGAAGGCCTTGAGTAAAGCTTTTCTATGGTTGGTGTGCAAAGTGTACTATTTTAATTAAATAAACGGTTTAAATGCAATGTTGGCAAATAAATAAAATAATACAATAAATTTAAAAAGTCGTTAAATTATTATATGTTTACTTTTTTCCATGACCGTATGCAAACTTGACTTTAATTTAGTACAAGTAATTAACTATGACACTTACTGACAAATAAATATTGTATTTTATGTTAGATTCTAGTTTGTGGAACGACATATTATTATTTTTCCATATTTTTTTTTTAGAAATATAATACATTCTTCTATGGTAATATGAAAATGGAAAAGTACGACAAATTTGCACTGTAGACACCCTATCTGAGTAATCGATAACTGTCGATAGCTACTGCGCTACTTTTCAATTTTAGTGGCTACTGAACACGTGCTTTTCTTTAAAGCATTGCTTTTACTGAAATTTCGAAGTTGTATGCTATGTGAGTAGCAGAAAAACTAATTTTATACTAATATCAGTAGTGGTATAAGTGTATTTTTGTTTTAAGCGTTTGAATTAAGATAAATCCATAAGCAGTAGTTGAATTGTTTAAAATCATCACAAATGTTATGCGCATATGTTTTTTTATTAAATATCTCATCATGCCATTGTATATAAAATGTTGGCAACTCTTTCATTGCGGTTTCGCATAATTCTGATGGGATTTCCATGCACTCAAAGCGTACACGGATATTTCTGAATGACTACATATGTGCATATATGTATATGTATGTATTCAGGTACATTGTTACTAACTGGCTGACAACTGGGGCTGACTAGCGCACTGGATGGACTTGTTACACGCCAATGGCGGGGAGTTGCAAGGCATTACCTAATTAAATAAAAAAACGCGCTGAGCAATGAGACACATGCCAACGGTTTTGTATATTTAATTTCGTCAGCAGGACTTTGTTTTATTTATCTACATGCATACATGTACAAATGTATGCATGTATAAGCATATTATTTAATTTTACTTTCCTTTTTCATTATTTCACTTTTTAGCTTTTATTATTTATTTTAAATTGCTTAAGTGTGGCTGATTGAGACGTTTGGGTTGAATACTTTTATAGATGAATTATTTCGAGTGTACCTCGGGCTGTGTGAATGATGACGTACTATTTTTATAACAAATTGTATGTATATTGAGAAAAATGTATGTAGCATACAACACACATGTGTGTAGATACATATAAGTATATTTTATGCATTTGATGGCAACTGCAAGCGTTAGTGGATATGCATTTAGCTGCATATATTACTAAGTATATATGTATATATATATGTATATATTAATATAGCTATGAGCGTGTGAAATTGCTTGCGTCCAAAGTCTACATTTTACATTTATTGTATCACTAAGTTATCTATGTGTATGTTTATAAGTATGTAAGTACGAATACTTATGTCCATTCGAATTCTTCTAACA